TGGAGGGATGGATGGAGGGATGGATGGATGGAGGGATGGATGGAGGGATGGAGAGATGGATGGGTGGATGGATGGAGGGATGGATGAATGGACGGATGGGTGGAGGGATGGATGGACAGATGGAGGGATGGGTGGAGGGATGGTTGGTCAGTAGATGGATGGGTAGAGGGAGGGAGGGAAGGAAGGAGAAAAGGAGACATGGATGGATGGAGGGATGGATGGTCAGTAGATGGGAGGGAAGGGGGGAGAGAAGGAAGGGAAGGAGAGAAAGAGATGGATGGATGGATGGATGGATGGATGGATGGATGGATGGAGGGATAGATGGATGGATCAAAGATGGATGGTTGGATGGTCAGTGGATGGATGGATGGATGGATGGATGGAGGGATGGATGGAGGGATGAGGGATGGGTGGATGGATGGATGGATGGAGGGATGAGGGATGGATGGATGGATGGATGGATGGATGGATGAGGGATGGGTGGATGGATGGATGGATGGAGGGATGAGGGATGGATGGATGGATGGGTGGATAGAGTGATCAGGGGCTGGCCAGGGGAGGATCACAGCAGGGGTGGGGCTGGGTGACCTTCAAAGGTCCCTTCCAACCCAAACCAGTCTGGGATTCAAAGGTTTAGTGGTGGCCTTGGTAGTGCTGGGTTAACAGCTGGTCTTGATAATCTTAAGGGACTTTTCTAACCAAAACAATTCCCTGATTCTGTCATTCTAAGCCAACTCCTTCCAAGCCTGCTCTGCTCCACCAGTGCTGCTCCCCAGGTGCCAGGGATGGACTCGGACTGAGCTGGAGTCAGGAAGGCACCACAGGACATGGAAGGCTCCAGATCATGGCTTGGACACGACTTGGCAGCTGGTTCTGGCAGAAGAACGTGGTGCAAAGCCCAGAGCAGAGCCCAGAGCTCCCCAGATCCCACCCTGTGCCCTGCGAGCGACGCAGAGTTCCGGCCACACGCTGAACTTCCAGCTCCTCCTTCAGGAGAGGGAGCCAGACCCACCTCAGCCTTCCCAGCTGATCTGGGGGATTATTTTGGAAGAAAAGACATGAACTGACAGCTGGGCCTGGCTCTGAAGGACAGGGAGGCTCCAGCAAAGAGGGACCAGCTGCCAGGAGTCAATGAGACCGGAGAGGTGGCACCTTGTGTTGGGTCAAAGGAGGGCATGAAATGGACAAGATGCCCAAGGACAAAAACCTTCATATTTTTTAAGGTAGAGGAAGGAGAAACAGAATCCAAAGGAGAATGAAGGATGGAGGGAAACCATCTGGAGATCCGAGGCTCAGCTGAACCCACTAGTCTGGGATTCAAAGGTTTAGTGGTGGCCTTGGTAGTGCTGGGTTAACAGCTGGTCTTGATAATCTTAAGGGACTTTTCTAACCAAAACAATTCCCTGATTCTGTCATTCTAAGCCAACTCCTTCCAAGCCTGCTCTGCTCCACCAGTGCTGCTCCCCAGGTGCCAGGGATGGACTCGGACTGAGCTGGAGTCAGGAAGGCACCACAGGACATGGAAAGCTCCAGATCATGGCTTGGACACGACTTGGCAGCTGGTTCTGGCAGAAGAACGTGGTGCAAAGCCCAGAGCAGAGCCCAGAGCTCCCCAGATCCCACCCTGTGCCCTGCGAGCGACGCAGAGTTCCGGCCACACGCTGAACTTCCAGCTCCTCCTTCAGGAGAGGGAGCCAGACCCACCTCAGCCTTCCCAGCTGATCTGGGGGATTATTTTGGAAGAAAAGACATGAACTGACAGCTGGGCCTGGCTCTGAAGGACAGGGAGGCTCCAGCAAAGAGGGACCAGCTGCCAGGAGTCAATGAGACCGGAGAGGTGGCACCTTGTGTTGGGTCAAAGGAGGGCATGAAATGGACAAGATGCCCAAGGACAAAAACCTTCATATTTTTTAAGGTAGAGGAAGGAGAAACAGAATCCAAAGGAGAATGAAGGATGGAGGGAAACCATCTGGAGATCCGAGGCTCAGCTGAACCCACTGGCACTGGGGATGCTTTGGTTTTATTTCCAAGCTGGAGCTGACAAGAGAGGAACCCTGGACATGGGAAGATTGTGAAATCCAACCCCAAAAAAGGAAGTCACTGCACAAAACCCTCTGCCTGGCCCAGGGGAATGAGAAAGGTTCCTCAGAAAAGGTGGGTGTGACAAGGGGGGGTTTTCCTGCCGGGAGCAGGACCGGACGTGGGAAACACTGAAGAAACGTTTCCACGTGGTACCTGAAAATCTTCCCTTGTTGCAGAGAAAAAGAAGCCAAATCCTGTATCCCCCAGCCCGGGGGGAACAGCTGCCTCTGCCTGCAGGAGCTGTGCTGGGAAGGTGTGGGAAAGCAGCAGCTCCAGGGCACGATTCCCGGCAGCTGGAACCGCCGAGCCCGGCGGGAATTTGCCCCTGCGGTTGCTGGGACCCTCCCAGCCTGTGCCCATGTTTGAGGAGACCCAAGTAGGGTGGGAACTGATGGATCTGGTGAGGATTAGGGAGAGGGTGGGGAGAGCCTGGCCCAGGTTGCCCAGGGAAGCTGTGGCTGCCCCATCCCTGGGGGTGTTGAAGGGCAGGTTGGATGGGGCTTGGAGCAGCCTGGGCTGCTGGGAGGTGTCCCTGCCCATGCAGGGGTGGGACTGGGTGGGATTTGAGGTCCCTCCAACCCAAACCATTCCATGATTCTGTGTCCCTGGGAAGGGACCTTAAAGACCATCTAGTTCCAACGCCCAAGCTGGAAAACAACCCCAAGCTGATCCCACCACGTGCCCTTCCTGGCGCTGCACGTGGCTCCTTCCCTGCCCCTTTCTGGCAGCAAAGATGTCAGAGGCCTGGGGTGGGGATTGGAGCAAAAACCAGAAGATGGGGAATAACAGGCCAGGCCACAGTTCCTGCAGCTACCTCAGCCAAGATAATAAAGGTAATAAACTTTTGCTTCGGGGCACGGAGTGACCACTGGCAGGGGTCAGTGAGTTCAATGGTCCGAAGGCAGCGAGGTTAAGTGCCATCATTTTCCCTTCTCTTCTGCTGCAGGAGACCAGAGTTTATGGAAAAACACTCAGAGCAGCTCCAGGGATATAAACTAACCCATAAAAACCGACCATAAAAGTTAGTGGTTGTGATTCCGCGCGCGATCCCGGCTGGAAGGCGCTGGTGGCCCTTGGATCCGCGGCGAGGAGGAGCAGAGCCCTGGCTGAAACCTGCCTTAACCTGAGGTGTTTGAGCACCCAACCTCACCTCGGTGCCCGTCAGGCCTGGGGAACCTCAAGCATTCTGGTTGACACCAAAGAGGGGCCACCAAACCCCCAGGGCTTGTGGCCATGGCTGAGGGCACCTCCCCAGGGTTGGTCACGGCCCAGTGTGGATTCAGCAAGAGGGACAACAAAGCCACCCTAGGACACAGCAGGAGGTTGGGGTGGTTTGAGGGGCAAAAAGCTCATTAAGGAAAGTCCAGAGTGAGGTCTGCACCCACCCAGCAGAGGTTAGAAGTCTGAAGAGGAGCAGCTGAGGGGGCTGGGGGTGTCCAGCCTGGAGCAAAGGAGGCTGAGGGGAGACCTGCTGGCTCTGCAGCTGCTGAGAGGAGGTTGGAGCCAGGGGGGTCGGGCTCTGCTCCCCAGGAACAAGCGACAGGACAAGAGGGAACAGCCTCAAGTTGTGCCAGGGGAGGTTGAGGTTGGATCTGGGGAACAATTTCTCCCTGGCAAGGGTTGTCAGGGCCTGGCCCAGGCTGCCCAGGGCAGGGGGGGAGTCCCCATCCCTGGAGGGGTTTCCAAGCCCTGGAGATGGTGCTGAGGGACACGGGGCAGGGGTGGCCTGGGCAGGGCTGGGGGAATGGGTGGTAGAGTTGGGTCCTGGTTGGACTCCACGATCTTGAAGTCCCTCTCCAAGCAGAAGGATCCCCTGTTGGCCACATTGCCCGGTCTCCTCGAGACCCACCAAGAAAACCACGTCCCCTTCCTCCTGCGACTCCAGGGGTGGCAGAAATAGAGAAATAACAGGAGGCAGGTCACGCTGCTGGCCTGAAATTTCATTAAGACACTCAGACCCAATGTCCAAGCCAAGAGGCTGATGATAACACCTGGGCCTTCTTCTGTGGAGCCATTTCCAGCCTGGCTGCAGTTGCTCTCACTTGATTTTGTCCATCAGTAACAGCGCGGCTGCAGCGCGGGGTCTCCGAGAGGCCCTTCAGCTGCCTATTGAACTGATAAATTCACTGTATTACTTTACACAAATCAATACCCTCGCAGTTATCAGCCCTTGATGTGACCAAAATTGGTTTCAGCCAATTT